ATTTTACTTTTATAAACCAAAAATAAATCTTGTATATTTAGAAAATCATTAAATGAAATCTTAATATTTTTGTAAACCCTAATGATAATGATGACCATAAGATCCTCTTCTCTGTAAACCTACCATCATCACCATCCACGCAATGTTGCCCTCTTTCTTACCTAGCACAGGCGGCACCAAGAATCCTCCATCACCGCTATATTATTTCACACAATCCATCCTTTTTTCTTTCTCATCTTAGAACTCTGTCACCAATTGCGATAGAGATCGTCTAAAAACTCACCATCGTTGGCGACCCAATTTCTTCTTCTTCCCTCTCCACCATTGGCGACTTCTGCTTCCTTCATGCCACTGTCAAATGATGTTTACTTGTAAGTAAAAGGGTTTAATTATCCAAATCAAATCTTAGTCAAAGTAACAACTCAAGTTATGGGCAAAGAGAAAAAATGGTGCTGAAAGTATATGTTGATCGACTCTCCCAAACATCTTGTTCTATTCTCCTATTCTGCTGGTAAATTACATTCTTCATTAACATTGGGTGTTCTCTTTTTCTGTTACATCCTTTACTTTTTCAGATTTGGCAGCTTCGTTGTAGAAATGGCCTGAAAGAGAATTTGATGTCTATGTTGCACGCCAAGTATTTGTAGAAATGTCTCAAAGAGAATTTGATGTTCAAATTCTTGAAGAACACAAAAATAATTCTAACTTGGTTATTTGTGTTACTTGGTTCTAACATGTGGTATGCATTCTCTTCGAATTACAAAAATTTGGTTTATTATTGTTGTATAAAAGCATTCTTACATAATTTTATTCTTATATAATTCGATTTCATAGTAGTTATTCTCAAAGAATGTGTGATAATTGGAATCTCAAATCCCAATTATCTCATAATTATTCTTTCAGATTGAGCTATATGTATTGTTTGTTAGAATGACTTGTAAATAAATGGTTGTATAGAAAAGTTCATTGTATGATTTGAGTGAGGACTTTTGTTTGAATGGTACTTGTTATTAGTCTTCATTCTTATAAAATGACATCCTAAATAATGAAACATTGCAAGTTTGAAATCATGTGTACCTTTCTAGAATAGTATACTCATTTGTAATACTTTTTACATTCTTTCAGAATAAATTACATTGCAAGTTTAAAGATGATTGTTGATTTTGTTTGTAGAATTTATAGTTATATTCTATTTGAATATATATCACATTCTATCGGAATTTGTTTTATTTTATTTGAATCCATTAAAAAATTTAATGTGTGAAAGTTGATTATTTCTTTCTTTGTGAATTTAGGTTTTTAAGAGGTTGTTATTGATGTGGAAAAAGAAGAAAATATGGAGAACAAGAGTGTATTCTAGCATAATGTATCCTACTAATATGTATAAAGTGATTATTAGCAATAATATTCTTTTAGAATTGATTAGTATTTTTGAAGTTTTTTTTTCCTTTTTAACCATTTTTAGTTTCAACCTTCAAGAATAAATGTAATTTGTAACCATTTAATGTCATCTATTTTTTCAGAATGAATGTAATTTTTGTTTATAGTTTTATTCTGTAAGGATTGTTGTAATTAATAATTCTTAAATAATAAAATATGTTTCATATAAAATCCATTTTATTATAAAATGTTACTCTTGATAATATATGTTGTAAAGATCTTTAAGCATGTTAATTATAAAAAATATGTTGAATGGAATTCTGTAAATTAAAATCGATAATATATGAACTAGTTTATTGTTGACATTTGGTCATTCTGACAAAATAAATCCGGTTATTATTTAAAAATAAGTTTAAATTAAAATTAATTTAATTTAAAATTTTTAATTTTTAAAATTAAGATAATTAATGATCCCTTAAAATCTGAAATTTTCCTTTTTTAAATATAGCTAATAGTCCAAGATACCATTATAGTGAACTTTGTGTGATTATATGGTACATGTTATTTTATTGTAATAGCATACACCCTCAGATCAATGACTATTAATTCTATTCATCCATTGGTCCACAATTATTTTTATGCGCACACAATAGATGTAATAATAACCTAGTCTATATATATATATATATATATATATATATATATATATATATATATATATATATATATATATATATATATATATATATATATATATATAGGTAAGGTTTATATGGAAAACAAATGATTAGGGAAACACATATTTAAACCAATGAAAAACATAACAACACATCACTTTAGGGTAACTACATAAATAACTTCAACAATACATTCCTTGTGAATAAAGAAATGGATATGTGTTACTTGATTACTGATTCCAGCATATGTTGTCCTAGTTATTTGTTTTCGATAGAACTCATTTCTATATATATATATATATATATATATATATATATATATATATATATATATATATATATATATATATATATTGTTGACATTTGGTCATTCTGACAAAATAAATCCGGTTATTATTTAAAAATAAGTTTAAATTAACATTAATTTAATTTAAATATTTTAGATTTTTAAAATTAAGATAATTAATGATCCCTTAAAATCCAAAATTTTCCTTTTTTATATATATCTAATAGTGTAAGATACCATTATAGTGAAATTTGTTTGATTATATGGTACATGTTATTTCATTATAATAGCATACACCCTCAGATAAATGACTATTAATTCTATTCATCCATTGGTCCACAATTATTCTTATAGGCACACAATAGATGTAAGAAATATAATAACCTAGCCCTATATATATATATATATATATATATATATATATATAGGTAAGGTTATATAGAAAACGAATGATTAGGAAAACACATATTTAAACCAATGAAAAACATGACAATACATCACTTTAGGGTAACTACATACATAACTTCCACAATACATTCCTTGTGAATAAAGAAATGTATATATGTTATTTGATTACTGATTCCAGCATATGTTGCCCTAGTTATTTGTTTTCCATAAAAATCATATATATATATATATATATATATATATATATATATATATATATATATATATATATATATATATATATATATATATATATATATATAACGTAAAATATGCACCATATGCATATAAATAGAAAATGTTTGTTTTGAATTTTTTTTCAAAAAATCACTTTGTATGTGTCTTAACTTTTATATATATATATATATATATATATATATATATATATATATATATATATATATATATATATATATATATATATATATATATATATATATATATATATATATATATATATATATATATATCGTAAAATATGCATCATATGCACATAAATAGAAAATGTTTGTTTTGAATTTTTTTTTCAACAAATCACTTTGTATATAAGTGTCTTAACTTACTAAGATGTTTCTCAAGTGTGCATTAATGTGCACATATGCATATTTTCATTTGTGTATAAGTGCAAATGAGCCATATTTTAAGTAAAAAAAGAAATCGAATATTAATATGGAAAGATGTTACTAAATGATGAATTTACGTATTTTTAGTTTTTTTGTTTTCAATATAAGATAGGCTCTAAAAAATTGTTGAAAAATCATGCACATTTTTTCAGTTTTTCTAGGTATTTTTTTTTAATTAATTTGCTAAGACGTTATAGAAGGTGATTCATTAAAATAAAAAGAAAATAAAATAAAATAAAACTTTCAAACAAATGCGTTTTTTCAAGTGATATGTGCATATTTTTCCTAAATATTTTTTTCGGATATCATATGGAAAAAGTTTGAAAAATGATGAATTTACATATTTTTATTTTTTTTCAATTGAAGATACGCTTTAAAAAAAATATTTTTTGCTATTTTCTCTCTCTCTCTCTCTCTCTCTCTCTCTCTATATATATATATATATATATATATATATATATATATATATATATATATATATATGTGTGTGTGTGTGTGTGGCTTTAATGTTTTTAAATATCTTATAGTATTTTTTATACAAGTTCTCGGGTTAGAAAATTGACTTTTCAAAAGATCCTAAAATAATGTTAATAGGGTTTGGTGAATAGCAAGAATGAACGTATGACTTGAGAACACATAATTTATTTCGAAGGGTACCTATTTATATATTTATGTTGAATGAGAAAAAGATTTGCATGAATTTGAAAATATCAAGTTTTATATGTAAATCCAATTATTGATAACTTTTACGCTATTCACGTAGTGTTTTTAAAATGTATAAAGATTTTTAGCTCAATAGATGTCTTTTATTTTTTATATGAAAAAACTATATGTACGTGAAACATGAAGATGTTAAATGTACGTAAATAAAAGCTTGGTCATTTTTTTTTTTTTTCATTTCTTGTATGTACTGTTTTATGAAAAAATGAAATAGAACTTTGTTTTTGGTTCATATATAATTCATTTATAGTAATATATAATAATGTTTCTATTATATTAATCGTTTTCGCTTTATTTTTAGTATGTATTGTTTCTTGAGAAAATGAAATAAAACTTAAATTTGTTCAGATAAATCATTTGTATCGTAAAAAATACTAACTTTTTTTAATACACTAATTATTCACTATTCTAAAGCTAACTCTTTAATTTTTTAACATAATACAACTATTTTGTTAGTCTAGATATGTTAAACAACATAATTTTATTCCTTTCATAAAACACATACCTTCTTACCTTCTTATATGATGCAATTGCTTTTGTGAACATAACGCCATATCTTTATAAACAAGATACTTGCAAAAACACCAACATGTTGAAAATTCCAAAACCCAATCACCATTGACAAGGTTCTAAAAGAAAATAGAACAAAAGTCAAACAATATTTGATGCCAATTCTCAAGTTAATGATGATAACAAATCTAACTCCTTTATAACACAACCTAACCTAATAATAATAGTAATAATAATAATAATAATAATAATCACCACAAATAACTTCCTCCCCTACAAAAGACCAATACTTCTTCTACCAAACAATAACATGAAATGACTAACTTACCCCTAACCCCCCCCCCTCCTATCCCACCACCCCCATCCACTTCCACCTGTCTCTCTTAACTCCTCTTCTTTCGTTTCTTTCCACTTTTTGACCCGCCCTTTGTGGATTCCGGAGTTTTCGCTTCCTCGGAACCGGATTTCGCCTTCCCGGGCCCGTTGGAATTGGAATTGGACTTGGTGCTGGTCTGAGGGGTTTTACCTTTTGACTTGTTGACCGTCTTTGACTTTGGTGTCTCTTCGTCTTCCTTTGACTTTCCGGCGGCTGCATCGGTTGACTTGGCGCCGGTTTTTTGAGATGTGGATTTGTTGTCTTTTGATTTGGCAGATGATGACGTGGCACCAACTCTGCTTATTGTTTACTTACACATGTCAAAATCGTATAAAAAACAATTGACAAAATAAGGATTAAAGTGTAAATGACCATTTTACCCTTTTCGGTGCATGTTTTAAGATATACCTTTTGGCAGAATCTTTAGAAGCAGATGGTGTGGGGTCGGTTTTTGATTTCTTCTTTTTGTGTCTGAAGCAAAACAATAAGCAAGAATATTAGAGAGAGAAATTAATCAAACCAAACCAAAAAGGGTAAAGGTTAAAAAAGTAAATATACGCTTCGTCTTCTTCTTCATTTTGGTCTTCGGCGATTGGCTCCTGTGAAGTGAACCACATGAGCTCCAATTTCATAAAAAAAAAAAAAAAAAAACATCATAATAGTAAGGGCATTTTGGACATTTCAGTTCAACATGTCCTCACCTCATCCCGTTGTTCCAAAATCTCCCATTTTTGTGTTTTCAGATTCAATATCTCTTCATCTCCATCCACATATGAAACCTGTTAAACAACAGTAAACATATTAGAACAAGAAAAGATGATACAAATATAAATATTTAATAAAGCATTGCATATATTATGACCTTATGCTTCTTTTTAGCAGAATCAAATGACTCAATAACACCTTCATAATACCTACAACCAACAGCAATAAAAAATAAAACATCCGTTTTAAAATTATATCGAAATTATAATCATAAAATAAATGCACTTACGTTTTATCTTCAGGCCACCAAACTTTGACCTTCAAACCAACCAGGCTTTTATCATACTTCACCTGAAATATTTTTCATATGTTAAGAGAGGATGAGGGCATTTACGTCTTTTGCACACAGTTGGAATACATACTTTATCTTTTACTGTATTACGCTTCCTTTTTGAACTATTCCCTGGGGTGCCCTTTGGAGAAGACTCCTCCATCTCCTTCATAATCCCAAAAAAAAAAAAAAAAAAACATTATCTTTAAATAAATTTTTTTTTTTTAAATTAAAAAAGAAAAAAGGTAGAGAAAACTACTGACATCATCACCCGATAAAGATTTTGTTTGCTCCTTTTCTGCAACAGTTTTACGTTTTTTTCCATCATCCTTCTTCTTTGAAGAAGATTTAACATTTTCACCTGAATTACCAATATTACCCTTTTTAGCAGCAGAAGACACCTTCAGTGGCTTACTATCTGAATCACTTTCCTCATCTTCCTCAACATTTTTACTTTTCTCCCCCTTCTTAACTGACAGCTTCAGTGGTTTAGCATCTGAATCACTATCTTCTTCTCCTTTCTTCACAGATTGTTTCACATTTACACTCTCATCGACTTTCTTCCCCTGTTTTGACGATTTTGCCCCTGATTCACCCACATCCATTTTCTTACCGCTCTGCTTCCCTTTCTTCCCTGCTGGTTTTGACGGTTTTGCCCCTGAACTACCCGCGTCCACTTTCTTATCAGCCTTCTTCAGAGGCTTATTATCATCATCAGAATCACTAGCGGCACCACCATCTTCCGATTCATCAATGGCGGCGGCCGGAACTTTGGCAGCAACCGCCTTGTTCTTGGCCCGCCCGGTTTTCTTCGGGCTCCCGGATTTGGATGGGGAGGTGGCGTTTTCAGGGGCGTTTTCGTCTTTTTGAAGTGGTTGTTTCTTTTTGGACCTGACGGGTCTCTTGACTTGGCTTTCATCTGGAAGGCTGTCACTTTGAGAAGGGGAAGGGGAAGAAACATTCTCAGCTTTACTTTCAGGGGCGTTTTCGTCTTTTTCGGTTTCTGATGGATTAACCGCTTCATTAGAAGACTCTTTAACAGACGAAGTATGAACAACAACATCAGGTTGTTTCTCTGCTTCTTCTTTCTCACCTTCAACATGAGAAGAATCAGAAGGCTCCCCGGAGTTTACTGTTGTGTCGGATTTAGTCCTTGTACTTTTGGAAGTCTGTTCTGGTTTTGATTCCGGCTTTGCCACATCAGCATCTGACTCATCACCATCATCAAGATCAAGTTTCTGTTCGTTTTTGTCTTCTTGTGGCTTCTTTGAAGGTTCTTGATCAACTGAAGCTTCTTCATCCCCCTTCACTCCATTACTCATAACTGATTTTGGAGATCTGTCTAAAGTAGGATCTTCATCATCATGACATGTATCTTCTTTAACCACCTAATTAACAATTATTTTTCAACTTATTAATATATTTACTAAAACCCCAAAATATATATATATATATATATATATATATATATATATATATATATATATTTTTAAACTAATTAAAAAAAACACCTGATCCGTGTGATCTGATGATGCTGTTGTAAGCTTACTCTCATCAGCCTGTAGCATGCCATATTGTCATAATTTGAGCCATTAAATATTTCCATTTATAGCAATTGAAATTTTAAAATAAAAATAAAAATTTTAAAAAAAGAGTGAAGCATGCCTGTTGTGCATCATCTAGAGATCCCTTTGTTGATTTGCTCTCATTGGCCTGAAAAAGAGTGAAAATTTATCAAGTCTTTGTAATGTATTAAGTCAAAAGAAGCACAAATTTAGTCAATGAAAAACTAATCAATAAATACCAGTTGTACCCCTGAAGCATTTTCATCATCATGTTCAATTGTAGCAGGTGTCCCTTCACATACTGAAGCCACAACTTGAGTGTACATATCTAATGTATCACCTAAAGATATGACAGCTGGCATCAAGTAAGGCTTTAACTTAGCTGCAGATTTCAAAATCACCCCTTCCCCCAACTTTCTAGCTATTGGTAAAACTCCCTAAACAGAAATTAAACTTTTTATCAGTAAAAAAAAAATGGAAAACTAAAAGTAAAACTCTTGAGTCTTAATTGTTACCTCACTATTTTTTTTAACACTAGCCAAGATTGGTTTGAGCATTTCAACTGAAACTTCTTCACTTTCTTCTAAAACCAATACCATTATATTTTCCATGGATGAATATATGGATTCAAGATGATAATCCCTGAAATAAATATATGCATACTTACAGTCATTATTATATTTGTTTCTTAAACCCTAAATCAAATAAAATCAAGCACCGATGAAATACATTATACACCACACCTTACTGATCTTAAAAAATGCTCAAACATCTCCACAATCAGCTCATCACATTCAAGATCAAGCATGATGACACATGATCTAACTTTGGAAACAGTTTCAAGAATTGATGACCTTTTGTTATAAGATCGACTAGATTGGTCTGATAAATCCTCAAAGGAGGAAACAATCAGTTGAAAAACATCCTGTGAAAGACAATCACAAAAGAGGTTTGTTTAGAATGAGAAGATGAAAGGAAAGAAAGTATATGATATGGAGGGGTGTATGGTTGTATGGTGTACCCTCATTTGATCATCATTGTAGGGTGCATCAGGTGCTGTGATTCTTGTTATTTCACTGATGCATGAAGCAACTGCAACCTTCACATCCACATCTGAATGCCCTAAAAGGCTGTCTTGAATCAATGCTCTCATTGATGGTTTCAGTGCATCTAGCATTGACTTTTTCGGGGACTGGTCAACTTTTGATAGAAGTTTCTCTACTTGCTATTGAGCAAAGTCAAAAAGAAACATTAATTTTTCATTTTAAGGATAAAACATAAAGTATTATAATCAATACAAGTATATTACTGATTACTCATACATATTTATATCAATCTAAGATAATTATTTCTTTACTGATATCAAGGATTCGTCAATTTTCTTTGTTGCACAAATATTCATCAAAAAGTGAAAAATATTGTCTCCTTCCCACAACTATACACAAACTAGTAGTAGTTGAGCATTAGCTAACTATTCATAATGCACTCAGTGGCTCCACCATTCACACTCAAGTGAATTATGTGATCCAAATGAGTCTTGAATGCCTTATAATGGGTGTCATTAGATATATTAGCTAAGTTTTTTTAAAAAAAGAAAACTTTGCAATTCTTATCACCCTCTTTTTTAATATGTATTCCACCAACGAATTCTAAAAGCAAAGTTCTATGGTTGATTTGACACTCTATGTTCCCTATAACTAAAGGATATATATATATATATATATATATATATATATATATATATATATATATATATCTCAAAATCAGAGAGCAGTATATTCCAGAATTAGGCCCACATTCCTTTGTAGCCAAAAAGAAAGATTCATCATAAACCTAATTGGTTACCCTCAATAAGATCAATCGTGCAAATCTCAATCAGAGGTAAGGAAATTCCTAATTTTCTAGAGCTTCTAAGAATTATAAATTCTAGGTGATTTCAGGTGAACCCCAAGTAATAAGGATTTTGGGTGATTCACGTGTGGTAATGTTGTTCTTAGAATATATAAAGCGAAAATCAAAAAGATAGCAGTATGGAACAAGAAATTTAAAAAAAAAAAAAAAAAAAGGCATTTGTAGAACTAGGTACCCCAAGATAGAAAGCAATACATACACCTCAAATTGCTATTGATAACCCCGAGTGTTTTGAATCAGAATGAAAACTGTAGAACAGGCAACATGTATAGAAGATGCAAGATTGAACGGACTACTTTTATCACAAATCATCCACAAAGCTTTCCACATAATATACCAATTAAACACTCACTCACTCCTTGATAATTCCTACTTTCGAGTGTCAAATGTGTCGAATTCTAGATTTGGAAATGCGAAAGGTCGAATTTCAAAGATCAAATGGGCATCTTTTTGGAACAAAACTCAAATTAGGGGCTTACATCAAGAACAGGGAGAAGTCCATCGACCGAATCCGGGGGATGTGATAACTGTTTCCCTGCCTCCTTAAGCTGTTGCTCTAACTCGGCCTCTGTAGATGCCATCTTCGGTTTCCCTTTTTCTTCGATCTTTCTGAACCACAAAACCAGTCAATTTCCACCTCAGTCTCCTCTCACCATTCGAAACCCTAACAAAAGTCACCGTGAAACGACGCAACACAAACAAAAAACAAAATCCCACAACGGATATACAGAGTACAGAAGAAGAAAAAAAAAAAAAAACCTCTAAATTTTCAAGATATCTTTTGAGGAAACCCAACAGTATTACAAAAATAGAGTGTCTGGTTGTCTAGAGAGAGAGAAACTAAAAAGCAGAGAGAGAAGGAAGATACCGATAGGTTAAAATGGCTCGTATATGTCCGATATATAGATATATATGATAGATACAGAGATATAAAAAGGGGAATTAGGGCTTGTAGTTGTTTGTGTGAAATTTGAATCGAGGTTGGAAGAGATCGAGAAAATTGAGGAAATCTAAGGGAACAAGTATGCAGATTTGAGCATTTTTGTAGGTATTTAAACAGTTAAAAAAATAAGATACTCATCTGCAATTTTTCAAAAGTAAATGTTCCCTTTTTTAAACTAGATTCGAATGATTCATCATTTATCTTTTCTTTTTCGGCCCAATTTAATAAAAAGACAATTCTTATGTCCTTGTTTGAAATTAACAACAATTCGTATACAAGACAATTAAATCTTTTACTATACCTTCATAAGTATTTTCTAGGGTTACTAAACTTACAATCTAAGTCCTATTTTTTGTAATTTAAAAATAATTTGTAGACAAGACAAATAAAACAATTGTTATAGTTTCAGATCTCCTTGGTTTTATTCTAAGGCCTTCTTTTTACAATTTAACAACAATTTGTATAAAGACAAATCATCCAGTTGTAGTAAAAATGTTAATATCTTAAGGCTTACCGAGATGGGGGTGTGGTTTGGACGGTCGTGTGCGCCATCGATGTACCCTTAAGGCAGCATGGTCGGTGTTATGGTGATTAGATGTGGTTCGAATCACAGTTGACTAGAGTTCACGAGATAATAGGAAAATATATTTATTGAAACACCGACGGTCTATCTACAAAATGTTGCGAGTTAAAGCTTCTTACACCAACTTCAACAAAATATTTAATAATCTTACATATATGCATGCTAGTGGTGCAAGGTATTTCGGCATTTTAACTACGACGCTTGAAACTTACAAAGTAAAATACAAAGATCAAACATTTTCCAATCAAAAAACATGGCATGTTTATCGTAAAGGGCCAAAGTGGGTGCTTCAACTAGAATCGGCTTTGCAATCAAATGTATCAAAACGTTCGACAACATCGGAATCGGATGTTGGTATAAGACGCACCTCAACGAAAATTTTGAGGAGTGTGACATCCAATTTTGGGAATGCTTTTAAGAATTTAATTGGGATCTAAAAGTTTCTAAAGTTGGACGAATGCATAGCACGACCTTTGGTTGGCCACGACACTAACCTTTAATGAATGTCACAGTGTGACATGTTGGCACGACGCGACATAGCTGACAAGAGAAACCCTAATTCTCGGTCTTTGGGCTCTATTTAAGAGCTCTAACTCCTAGGGTTACCTCATTTGGCATCCCCCATCCCCTGAGAATGGGGGATGCTAGTGGTGCAAGGTATTTCGGCATTTTAATTACGACGCTTGAAACTTACAAAGTAAAATACAAAGGTCAAACATTTTCCAATCAAAAAACATGGCATGTTTGTCGTAAAGGACCAAAGTGGGTGCTTCAACTAGAATCGGCTTTGCAATCAAATGTATCAAAACGTTCGAGAACATCGGAATCGGATGTTGGTATAAGACGCACCTCAACGGAAATTTTGAGGAGTGTAACATCTAATTTTGGGAATGCTTTTAAGAATTTAATTGGGATTTAAAAGTTTCTAAAGTTGGACGAATGCATGGAACGACCTTTGGTTGGCCACGACACTAACCTTTAATGAATGACACAGTGTGACATGTTGGCACGACGCGACATAGCTGACAAGAGAAACCCTAATTCTCAGTCTTTGGGCTCTATTTAAGAGCTCTAACTCCTAGGGTTACCTCATTTGGAATCCCCCATCCTCTGAGAATGTATCTACCCCAAATCTTAGCCTCCATACTTGAGTTTTAGGTGTTTAAGCTTGGTTTTATGAAGCTTGAGGGTAAAGGAAGCCTCTTTTGGTGCAAGAAAGCTTGGTTCCAGCTCAAATCCATCATTCTTACCTTATTTCTGGTCATTTGGAAGTATAAAACTTCAAATTTGGTCTTTACTTTTTTAGATCTACTTTTATGTCTCATTTGGTAGCTTTTGGGTCCCTTTCTTGATGTTATTGGAGTTTAGACAACTTTGAAACAATATGAGTGACTTAAATGACTTATAGGCACTACAAACAAAATGATATTTAGTGGCACAAACTTTTAATGGCATATATTTTATTGTGCCATTATATTATACTTTTAGTGTCATATTTTATATTGTACCATTGATAACAAAAAAATGATTCAGAAACTAAATTCCTTCTAAATTTTAATTCTCTCTTGTACTTACCACCTAAACTTTATTCAAATTAATCAAATTTTTGACATCTTATTTGTTTCCCTTGATTTTGAGTATTACCTTTTTTCCATTACACCTCAATCGACTAAAATCGAAACTTCCATATCAAAGGGGATCATGAAATTGGCTCTCCATTTACTACATTACGATTGCCTCATCCATTACTACACATCATTAATCGGTAGCCTCTCCACTAGAAGCATCCCAATTTCAAAATTTCTCTTCTCGTTGTGTGTAAATGTGTAATTGTTGTTGGATTTCATCATTCCATCCTATTAAGGTAATCAACTACGTGACTTTACAAAAATCGAAAATTTATTTTGCTAAACTATCACTCTTCTAGTTAGAACTAACCCAATAGAAACAATTTTTATGATTTTCTCTTGTTGGATTTCCTTGTTTTTAAGATGAACACCAAGTGTTGATGAAATTCCTCAATGAAACATGTATATATTTTTCTGTAATTGGATTTACAATTTGTTAATTGTTTGTTCTTATTTGGTAGAAATCAAATAGCAATATCATTTTGAGGTGCACCTTCTACGACATGATTTTGTTCACAGTAGATGTTGTGTGCAACTATGTAGAGAAATTGCAAATTTTTTCGTTAAAAACAATGTGAAACTAAAGATCTCAAACGAGTTTTATTAGTGTTTCCTGACATCTAGTTATGTGTTCCTCTACTAGTTCTAGATTGTTTATAGTTACTTGTAATTAAACATAGCATAATTATAGCATATCTTTTTGGATTCCATTGATCATTATTTGTTAAGTTTGAACAGTTTTTTTACCATATTTGATTCATTTTCCATTTATGGTTAGGTTTAATTGGTTTTTACATAAACATCAAGTGTTGGATAAAACTCCTGAATGAGAATATTATGAATTAAACAAAACAGCGTTATCAAAATGTTGTTCCTTTATAGATACATCTTGCTCTGTTGACCATGCATTCTCCTTTTTCGTTGATATGGAAAGCTCTTGGTAAAGAGGTTTTTTTTTCTTGACTTTTTAGCTCCTTACGAGTCTAATATAAAAACAATAATATGTGTTGTGTAGGTGAACACTTATGAACTTTTACCTCCACCATTTGTCATAGTATTTATTTCACTTACAAGTTAAATTAACGGTTGTTTTTCACTCTTTTGTTGAATGGTTGATGTTTATCTTCATTATTTTTCAGGTTTGAGAATGTAAGAAACTGTAACACTCCAAATCAGGTAACCATTTTATTCCTTCAAGTGAGTTAGTTTTACAAAAATGACCACTTTTTGGTACACTGGGCGTACTTAAGTGTACGCTTAGCGTACTATGGAGGAAGGATCGTGACGGAATATCAAGTACGCAAGGCATACGTGAAGGTACGTCGGGCGTACGCGATAGACAGCCAAACCCTAATTTTCGGACTTGACACCTATTTAAGCATCCTTAAGTCATTGGGACTAGACCCTAACCAGCCTCCATAGCCTCATATCGTCCATTAATCTTAGATTCTCATATGAGTGTGGTTCTTGAGCTTAGAAAGTGTGTTGGTGGCCATTTTAGAGAGCATTCAATAAGGAGAAGGTGGTGTTCAAGCTTTGGGTGTCATTGAGCTTCTAGATCCTGCATCTAGAACATCTTGAGGAACTTCTAGATGTATAAAGTCATAACCTTGTCATCCTTTTCATTAGTTGAGCTAGGGTTTTGTTATGGAACCCCTTTTTGGCTTTTGGACATTCTCTTATGAGTTAAGAAACTCAAGAGACTATAATAGATAAATCTGAACTCCTTGAGCTTGTTAGATGCATAAAGGTGACATCATGATGATTGTTTGGAATCCATGCATAAGTTAGAAATCTTAAATGATGTCTTAATGGAAAGTATGGACTATTAGAGTCATTCATGGCATGCAAGGGCATAAAGTTGCCAACTTTATGCCCTATAACATCTTATTAAGCCTAGATTTGAAGTTGAACATTGAGAACTGGAGTATTAAGCACTTAATTGTTGTTTAGTGTTGTTATGTCATAAATTGTGGTTTATACTTTGCTTTTCATAAGCTATTAGATTTCTCGTTCTAGAACCGAAAACACCATGTTGTGGTGTTCTTTGGACCAAAATCACATGTGATTTTGGTTAGGCTTTATATTGTTTTGTTTAGGTTTTGGGCTTGGGCTTGGTTATTAGGCCTAGGTATATATTAATATATAGGGTTATTTAGGCTTGAAAATGAGTTAGAAGTGAGTGATGGACGTTTTAGGGGTTGCCATATGCCAAGGACGTGAGTTTAGAGAGAACCAAGAGAGAATAGTGTGTAATCAACATCTTATGTACTCGACTATTGAATGATAATAATGTGCATTGAAGATTAATTATCTTGTTCTTATTCATCTTTGTCTTGCATTATACACTTTGATTGGGATTCTGCACCATCAAAGTGAATCCAATTAATTTTTAAGAGAATTCGGGACTTACAAGTGGTATCAAAGCTTGGATCGGTATCAATCGGGTCATTGCAAACGGTTTTTCTTGAAGTTTCTTGGTGTTTTTGATTTATATTTTATGAATTTTTGGCCATTATTCTTTGTGTTCTTCATATTTTGAAGTTTCAATCGAGTTTGATTTTAAAAATTAAAATTTTCGTGTTTTTGGCCAGTTTTGGGTGATTTTTGGCCAAATTTTGTGAAATCTCAGCGAGATCCTCGGTCTCGGTCAAGATTCCTCGGAAATCTCGAACACGGCTTCGCAGGTCCTTGGTCAACAGCTGTTTTCGGAGCTCAACAACGTTTACGGTGCGAGGCAAGGGTTCACGGGCGAAGTTCTCAGAGCAAAGTGTTCTCGGTCTGAAGTTCTTGCATCGTTCTCATATTTCATCGTGTTCTCAGTTCCTATTCTCGGTTCGGATCCTCGGCTTCTCAGTTCCTTTTCTTGGTCCAAGAATCCAGCCTCGTATCCTTCGCTACAATTTCGGAATTTCACTATTTT